CATCAAGATGGTTGAGGATAGGACTCCTGCAGTGTAAAGCATGCTTAATTTTTTATGTTGTGACATAAGTGTCAGAAGTATTAATTCATGGACTGTATTAGACCTTATATTTACACTACGATTTTTCTATGAACAGTTTGCTAAGAAAGTATACCAATGTTTTAAGTTAATGCAGTTGTTTTCTCTTTAGACCATTCGTCAGAAATTCCCTCTCCTTACCACAAGGCGGCTTGGAACAAGGGGCCATTCAAAGTAAGGCACAATTACCTGTGTATCCACTTACAAAATATATTCTAGGAATGACATATATTTCCATGTCTGCATAATATATACTAATTGATGCGTGTGTGTGGGGACTATCCAGCTGGCAAGGAGCAAGTGATAACTTTCATGTACATGATGAAACTGATTTTGAGTTTGAAAACATTACTGCAGGCATAATTTTTAAAATTAAACTGATTAAGCTTCTAAAACGTGTCATATTTATAGAGCAATGCATTTGTTGCAAATATGTGTCCATGTCTTATATATAAGAATGTTAAATAATTAATACATCCTTGTTTCAGTTGCTCATTTTTCTACAAATAATGTGCAATTCAGCTACGATTTTATTTGCCTTTTCTAAACCTATCAATTTTCATTGTGTCCTCTACATAACCATTTGGATTGATTGAAATATACTAGAAAGAAAAATGTTCTTAAACTGAGAAGAAGGTGTGTGTCTGCTCTCAGTTGTGGGTAATTTGTGAGAGCTCTGAAAAGTACATAACCTATAGTGCAGTCACTTAATCGATCATGTATCCGATTAATTTGTGTATTTGATTTGTGGAATGTTAGGCTGCAGGAATACACCACAGATCATTACAGATACCTGTGGTGAAGTTTTTATTAGTTCTGGTTCTGGCGTTATGCTTTTGGCCATGATAAAGTTCTTGTAAAACTGTGATGAACAGTGGTAACAACATATCCCCTTACATACACCCTCTCTCCTGTGTCCTGCTATTACGTCTGCTGAGGAAGGCCTGATGAGTTGTCCCCAGTCTGATTTTGGGTTTTAGTCAGGGAATGCTGCTATGTAAGGAAATGAAAAACTGTGTGGTGTATTGATGTAAGGAATGTACAGAAGTCAACATCATGCTCTAGGGCATTGCTAGTGTCAAGCCATGAGTTAGGTAATTCTAGGAAACTTCTATCCCTGTTTGAGGAATCACAAATACTGGAGTTCTCCATCTTTCTTGAAACCAAGACTAGATCTATGCTTCTTTGGGGTGTTGTGCTTTAAAATGTTATTGCAGTGTTTATCCATATCTGGTTTTAAAAAATATTTAAACATGGATCTGTTCACATAATTATGTTTAAAATGGAACTAGCTAAATAATTTTCTTATTTTAAAGTAACTCTGCAAAAACTTGAGAGTTTTCAATCACAGATCAAATTTAGACCAGATCCTTAGCTGTATATTTCTATTAATTCAAAATACATTTTCCTAAAAAAAAATAATGTTACAAGGAGCAGACTAAGACAGATATTGTGTCCATCTTTCTGTGTTTACAGAGAAATTAAATGTTTATTTACTGTCTATATTTTAGGAGATACATGCCTTTAAATATGTGAGTGTCCCTAGGATTTTTCTCACACTTAAAATTATGAATGTGTGTACATTCTTAATGAACAAGATTCGTGAAACTGCCCTTAACTTACAGAAAAAAGCACAAAGAGTGGATGATTTACTGAAATAAAACTAAAACTCAGAAAATTAACACAGAAACATTTTGCTAATTAAGAAGATCAATAGAAAACGAGAGTACTGGTAGTAATACAGGAAACTCAAACATTCTTTTTCTTTGGGAAAATCTTTATTTAGAACAACTTAGCCTGGAAAGACAAATTTACTCTTGTCTTTCAGTGATCTATAAGAAAACTCGAAAGAAGACTGGAAAGGAAAAAAAATAGCAGACTGTAGTTTTCCTAAGTGCTTTGCAATATATTAGGAATATCTGAAGGATGTGTTTTCTACTTTTATAATTCTGGGGAGTTGTTTCATGTTGTAATGCTTGATTTTCTCCCTGCATTAGAAATACAAGCAATAGCCATTCAATTCCACCTTAGTTTTGCTGAAGAAGGTATTGGAAATGTAATTTGTGAATTTTAAATTTTATTGCAGTATAAACAAAAGTGGGGAAGAATTTCAATTCCAAATTTTTACAAAGACATTTTATTTATTATGTCTCAAGTATTTATTTTAAATAATCATTAATAAAACTAAAGTCCAAAAGAAGTCAAGCCTACATAGAATATTTTTCTTTTTTTTAACAGAGGACAGTTGTTGCATAATTTCTGTCACAGTCTTACGAATTTGTAATCTGTATTTTTTTTTCAGGAGAGAGTAAACAATCTGTGTTGTATAGAGGAAAACTGGAACTAAAGCTCATTTCCCTTCTTGTAGATGACCTGTAGGTGCTGAATAGAGGGGTTTTGAGGAGAGTTACTATTAGAAAGGTTATTTATCAGGAAAGAGAGTGATTTCATATACTGTCTGCTGTGGTGAATTTCAATTGTGGTCACAGGCTTAAGCTAATGTAGACGTGGCTAGCTTTGCAAGTGGACATTGGCTGCTGGCATTGTGCTAAAGGTTTTAGGAGATGTGACGTTCACAAGCCGTGTAGGAATATTTGACAACCTACTAATTCATCAATGCCTTGGTCAAGTCTTAGATTCATAACCCAATGTATTTGGAGAATCACTTTCAAGTTATAATAAGTGAGATAATATAAGGGGAAAAGTCTCCCAGATGCTCAGTATATTTTTAATCTGACATATCAAATCAGCTGATAACAAGATCCAATCAAGATCCAGGCTCACAAAACATACCATGTGTCTGCATAATTTAAAGCACAGTAAGTCAACATCTCTCAACTAAAGGAGTATATTTCAAATATAGATTTTGACATGGGAATCTAGCTACAAAATTAATTGTCTTGGGATGTGTGTCACTATGTTCCCCTTTTCTCTAAAACTTTTAACAGTATTAGCACAGAAGTGCTTCATGGCCAACATTTATTTGGCAGATCCCTTGTCCCTGCTGACCTGGGTAATATTATGTGCCATATTTTCATGTGGATTAACTGTTCTTGAATAATTTCCTTAAAGGGATGAGGTAGCAGCAGGTTTTGTTTGAACATTTGGCATTTATTTCTCCTTTTTTCTCAATCAGTTTTCCTCAGAGACTTTTCCTCTGCATTTCTCATGTCCACTGAGATACATCTACATTTTTCATGGTGTGCAAAAAAGGACTTCATGAAAGGCACAAGTGACAATATCTCTAATACACAGACTGAATACAGTAGCAAGTAGTCATAGAGAAGTGGCAGTATAAATAATAACCTCTGATTATCTATTTATCTCTGATGTTGTGGACCATAGGTAGCAGTTAGTCACACAAACATCATTTACATAAGTATTTCCATTGAATTAATAATCAAATTAATGGACTGTTTGTTAGTTTTGGTAAATGACAAATTACCCACTGCTTTTATGTCAGTGTGGACTCTAAATGTTATAAGCTGTTTCTGTGTGGAGCAAAGCTGGTTTACTGATGCTGGTAAGAGACATTGCTTGCTGGCAATTAAAACCTCTTTTTTAAGGCACGGTAGTGTAGTGATATTGTTTCATTCCAGTTGTTCCTACCATTATTTTGATACAATGTTAGGAGCAGTAACTGCACTAACCATTCCTGACAGTGATGTTTTGTACGGCAGTATTGCCTAGGAGCTAGCTCTGTTTATTGTCTAGGACTCTACTGAGCCAGATGCTGTAAAAGCATGAAAGGAAAAAGACAATTCCTCTCCAGTGGAATAATTCAAAGAAAAGCTACATTGCAGAGAAACGCTAACTCCTCAGGAATAAAGTGACTTCCTGGACGCTGCATGCGTACACAGTTGAGTATCCATAGAGCTTGGCTGTGGTCAGAAGAAAGCAAAGAAAAACGGTTCCCTTTTTCATCAATGCCAACGTGACTGAAATTGTTTTTCTCCCACACCAAGACAAGGCCAAGCTCTTCCTAGCTTTCTCAGGAGCATGAACTGGATTTGAGAAATAGCTCCTCCACCAAGATGTGGGCTACAGTTGCTGCTCTGAGGTGTGAAAGAGATGCAAAAATTTTAGTTCCTCCTCTGATTCCAAGCAGCGTTTGTCATCTCCAGTTCTGGGCAAAAGAGAAAGTTAAAAATTGGTCTAATGAATCCTAGAATTTGAACTGCAGAGTCAGAATGTCTCTCTGTTGGTTTATATACACCAACCCATTTGTTCAAAAGTGTGACTACTAAAACACTCATTTAAATATTTGACCAAGAAGGCACAACACACTGGACACAATTTTGTTCACAAGAGTTTGTTCATCTCACATGCTCATGCTAATCACTACAGATTGCTGAATGTAAGAGTTGTTTTTTTACATCCCTTTTGCGTGGGAAGGGACCTGGCACAATAAATATGGAAAACTGCTCTTAAATTAGTATTTCATAAGCAGCAGTTGTCTGTGCAGCAGGTTCTGAATCCACCTTTTTGCATAGGTAATGCTGAACATCCTGAGGTCACTGCTAGAATTCAGTTACAATCTTCACTGTACCTGCATTACCTGGAGAAGCTATTCAGCAAAATGTACATGCTGCTCAGACCATACACAGAGAAGACTGTTTGAGCTCAAGTTACAATTTAATTTCTTTGTAGACTTTGATCAATGATGAATCTTAGCTTTTATCCATCATGTCTGAAAACTATTATCTTATTTATTAGGAGTAATTTAGTGGGTTAATAAAACTGATATGGCAGCTGGCTCCATGATAACAAGTTATTGCAAGTCCCTGAACAGCTTAAGCCCATCATTTCCTTATCAGCCATCGTTTGTGTCAGTGTATGCTAAAATCACGGCTAGTAGTGGTGAAAGAACATATGTTACAGCAAACCACTGAAATTGAAAGAGTAAAGCAGTTCTGTTAGTTTTTTAAAAGGTTTGTTAAGCAAACTGAGAATAAGTTTTCATTTTCTTAATTATACAATAGAAGTATAACAGAAAATTATATATTTACTGTACATACGTATGAAAATATGCATATGAAAAGACAGAAGGTGAGTACTTGAAGTTCTATGAACTATTTGCTGGGGATTTTGTGTCTTCAGAGTGCACGTCTTCAAGCTTTTGAGAAGTTTCAGTAAAATCCAGTGTTAGGCTTGGTTTATATACAATGCACTGGAACTACAAGCATTACTTTGAGGCAGTTCAGTTAATCCAGCTGCTGTGGTGTTTTCAAGGTAGCTTCAGTAAAACCCAAATGATCTTGTGTATACTCTCCATAACATTCTTAGACAAATTTGCTTTAACACAATCTGCTTTAAAATCTGTTTAGTGGAATTTATAAGACAGGGCCTATCACCTTTGATAGATGAACTCAAGCAAACTTTGCTATGACTAGTAAAGAAATAGCTGCCCCCAGCTTTCTGCTGTCCTGCCCTTTCTCCTGAAGGTCACTTCTTTTGTAGCAAAATCAGTGGAAAGCAGTAAGTACCTACTGCACAGCTTGTTTTCCTAGGACCAACCCACCTTTTTTAGTGTCTTAGGTTAACGTGTTGGGCTCAGCAATGAGCATTAGGCACGTTTCTTTAATTGTGCTCTGTTTGGGTGCGCTAATCTCCAGGAGAGCAGTGATGTGTATGAGAACTGCTTAAGCAGCTAAATAATTCAGCAGTTGGTCAGCCTACAACCTGAGAGAATGAATTAATACTATGTCAGCATTTTTAGTTGTGGGGGCTGAAGGGTGCTCTATGGGATTGTCTAAATATCATTGTGGTAAACCCAGTAGAATAAACCTAGCAGATCAAATCCAGGACCCTTTCAACAAACAAAGTAAAATAAAAGAGAATGCACATTAGGGAAAAGAGACATAACATGTTTCTAGGAGATCTGCTGTTCCAGCTACATTCTTGTAAGAAAGCAAGTATTTTCAATTTAAAGAAAACTATAGACTTGAATTTTGAATCATATCATTGCAAAACTGTTTTCTATGAGATCAGATTTTATTCCATGTCAGTAAAAGGAATTGGTAGGCACTGTCAAGAAAAAATTTTCAGAGACCATTGAAAATCAGTTTGACAGTTTGATTTGCTGGACATGTCACTAATAAACATAAACACTCTTTTTTTTCCACAGATATCACTATTATGGAATTGGCATTAAAGAAAGCAGTGCATATTACCACTCTGTGTATTCTGGAAAAGGCTTAACGAGGTACTGTAATATCACTTCTAAGAATTAGGCAGTGAAGGTCTAACTTTAACTTTCCCTTAGGAGGGTATTTGTAGGATGCTAAATTTTGTTGACACCAGATCTAGTATTGCTGCCTATCTCAATGTCTCGCATTCCTAGATTTAAGTAGCCGTTTGCTCCAAGGAGGATTTTATTTTAAGAGGGTGATCTACTTCTTTTGTTAGTGTCTTCCAGTATGGCCTCACTGCAGTCAGTGTAAAGTTGCATCAATTTATACCAGCAGATGATTTGTTCCAGTTTGTGAGGCAGGAAAACACCGTTTCCAGAACACTTTGTCTCATTTTGTTTGCCTGTGTGTCAGCCTCTGAGTTCTTTCCCCAGGACAGCATCCCATTATGAAACGTCTGGAGAATGGTGTGAAGCTGACACCTGTGGCAAGGGGGGAGGGGTCAGTGGAGATTAATATTTACAGGTCCTTTTTCTGGCTAATATCAGTTTAAACCTAACCCAGGAAGCTCTAATTATATTTATTTAAGGGACAGCTAGCAGGATCAATACGTTACGATAGCTGCCTGTTGGTTTGCCAAAGATTAATAGTTCGTAAAACAAATGTCTCTGTTCACATATGGCTTGAATGACGGCTTTCATTGTCTGTGGCAGTGTACCTGTGTAAGTGGGGACTCTGAGAAAGGAAAGGAATAAATGAGTTTGTAATCACACACAGAAAATTCAACTGGTGGCAGATTTCGGTTATATCCAAAGACACTTTTTCCAAACAATAGGACAAGTGTAAAAATTGAGAGTAATGTTACCAATGATGCTTAAATTGGAGGGATCTCTCCACTGTAGGACTTAAGCTATAGTAGACTGGAATATGTTGTTTTCTTGTCCAGTATGTACCCAGAGGTCCAGAGGTGTTTATGGTACACAGCAAGATGAGGTTCTTTCGTAATACAGAATTACCTTGAACAAATTGGTTATTTAATTGACTAAAATACAGCTATTTTAATTTAAGGGAATATAATCTCTCTTAGTCCTCAGCTTTTTGTCAGGCACTGACTGCCCATTTCATTTAAAGCTCAGTCAGTCCTTGCATAATCTCAAAGCAATGAATGCAAAGAGAGTGGAAGTTCTGCAAAATTCCCCACGGCTGGGTTTCCAACAGTATACACTCACATAAAGATCTCTGAGATTTTCAAGAATACTCCTTAGATTCACTAGATTCACTAGTTAGGAACCTTTTATTTGTGTTAGGACTTGGGCTCTCATGTATGAGATGTTGAATTTTCAGGATCCAGCAGTCAAACTGCCTCCCTAGCTGGTTTAGAACAGAAGCTCAGGTGCTCCTTTTGCACAGTCCAGGCCATCACTATGATTTTATTTTCCTGTGTGAAGAAAGTGATGCAGTAGCCTGGGGTTAAGAACAACCTCTGTGTGAGGAAAGAGTCAGGCAGTGTAGGGATGCAGAATTGATAGTGAATCTCCCAGTTGCTGGCTGCTGCATGTCGTGATCCATCATAAAATTTGTCCTTTGTCTGATATCTGTTCTGGTAGGTGAGCTATAAAAATGGTTGCTGGATCAAGCTTGGGGCAAAAATAAACAGGGAAAATATATGATTGATAATGGTATGAGATCACACCATGCCCATTCACAAATAAGGCACATGGAGGCCTTTACCACAAGGGTTGCATGTTGGATAACAGCTTGGCAAAAGATTAAAAGGGGCAATGGGCCTCAGTTTAGTTGCCTACATACATGCTTCTACTGCCATTTCAGACTTAATTGGCATTCACATATTAATATTTAGGTAACTGAGCTGAGTGCAGTAGTCCTTAAATGCGAGGTTGTAGATGCCTGAATCCTTAAATTCCACTGCAAATTTGACCCCCTGGTTCCCTTAAATATCAAGCATTGCACTGTGAAAGGGGCATTCTTAATGCCAGAATTCCTTACTATCCACAGCACTGTGTGAAGGGTAGCTTTAGCTAGCAATTAAGGCTCTGGAGGAGCAATGCTAGCAGGTGCTGTCTTGTTTTTTTGATGTACATTCTATGTACATTTTACTGCACATGTGGAAATTCACAGTCTGTGACAAATGCATCCAGCTATGAAGCTGCGTGGCTCCACTCTGAGTGATGTCTTCTTTCATACTCATCAACAGCCAGGGGAACTCTGTAGGTAACATATGTTGGATCATCCTGTGATGGAACTGTCAGGTGCCTGTGACTGGCCTGGGCAGGAGGAATTCCACAACCACTCACTCTCTGGTTTTATTTCCTGCCAGCAGAGCATCTCAGCAGCAGGAAATACAATATTGCCACTAATAATTATAAGACTTCATGTTGCCCACAGTATCTTATCAGTTGGCAGCTAGCAGAACAGGAAATAACAATAGCCAAACAACATTTATCATTATACTGATCCATTAGAATCTCTATCATTACACATTCTCTAGTTTAAGAAGTGTGCTTTCTAATTTCTGCACTGAAGAGTTGCCCAGTTGAAGAGTCACTGATAGTTCCGTGACTTCATTGGGCATCTTTCAATTGGACTCTTAATAGGACATGCACTGTACTGCAACACGTTTTTGACAGTAAATTACATTTTTATCTCAGAAAGGCATTTCACCTGCATCAAAATAATACGGTGGTAAAAAAAAAAAAAGGTTGACAATTGCTATGATTTCTTCATTTTCCTGAGAAGTGTGAATTCTAGGTATATTTTTTCTTCTCCGAGTTTACTCAGCTGTATCAAAATTTTAATGTATTTCCTGGTAAAGATCTTATGAACTTGCACCTGTGCTGCCCTTTTGATATTTGTGAAGTTGTAAAGATAAACAAAAAAACCCCTGAAACTGGGTTTTGTACTTTACTGTTGGGTAAATTATCTGAATCTTCATGTTTTGAAAGTCATCAGTAGGTTTCCTGATATCCTCAGGCACTTGCAAACTAATGGAAGAAGTTAAGAAAACAGCATTATTTTTACTATAATGACATTCAGAGAAATGTGATCATTTTTCTAATTGATCTATTTTATATATCTATTTTATATGTATATATGTGTGTATATAGATATACATAAACTACAAACTAAAAAAGTGTTCTCCTTATGAAAAAATAATAAGATGTGTTTATTTTCAAAGGTTCTCTGGAAGCAAGTTAAAGAACGAGGTAAGTCTTTGCTTTCACTTCTGTTATGATCCAAATACTATGTGACCTGTGGTTTTCTTCACATTAATTTCCTTGAAAATTACAGCAATAATTTTCATTAAAGATTAGGTGACATAAGCTCTAAATATTCAAAGGAAAATAAGATTGGAAGGCACTTTCTGGGGTTTCTGTTCCAGTCCAGTTCCCCATAACCACAGAGATTCATAGTAGACTCTCTTAAGCAAATAATCATAGCTTAATTTTTTGCATCTATTACTTTTGCAGGAGGGCTTTTTCAGAATCTCATTTGTCTGATTGGAAGCCAAATGATGCTTTTTTTTAATAAACTGAATTTTATACCTCCTGGTCAGGATTCTTTTTTCTCTGTTGTTTTCCCTTTGTGACATTTTTCTGATACATCTTTTTTGCTGCTTTTGCTTGCTAGATGGAGCAAACAGCAGCTGTTGGTCACTTCTGATCAGCCTTAAAGACTTTCACTGTACTTGTTCCAATTTGAATATCTGTATAGAAAAAAAAAATCATAACATCTTATAAGTGTTCATGATATTGAAAATATCCCTTCCAATGAACCATAGAACTGCATTTGGTTTTTGCTTGTTTGGTTGTGGTTTTTTTCTGCAGAAGTCACCTACATTTTCATTACTGTATACTATGGTATAGTCACTGTCACTCTGGTCGTATACAGAAAATTATGAATTAATGTACATTTAGGGTTTTTTACTAGAAAATTATGAATTAATGTACATTTAGGGTTAAGGATTGTTCCCAGGATTGTTCTTTGACTCTTGAGTTCAACTGGCATAAAAGAGCCCACATCTGTATCATTGAACTCCTGAACCTACAAAACAACACAGGAACATCTCAGCCACATTGCCACAGAGAAAAGTTCCTAGGATGCAGTAAGTGTTGAAGTGTGGCTAGGAAATGTTTAGGAGACTGCTAGTTGGTGTGGGCCAAAGAATGTCAGGGGCTACTCTGAACAATACTGTTCCAGGTTTGCCTGGGAACATTTCCTGGCACCATTTAATTTACTAGACTAAATATACCCTCTGTGATCAACTGATACACAGCAAATCTTTCTCCTTTTTCATTTCCAGATAAGCAGCTCCTGGCTGATAGCAGAAATTCTTACTGGTCCCTGAGAGTGTAGCTTTCCTCTATTGATTTTCATCCCCTTTATTGCCATTATCTCAAAGCCATCCAGGTCTTTCTACATGACCTCTTGGTCTTCTTCTTTATTGATGATTTCATTAGCTCATGTCACCCAATTTAAGCTATGAAATGTTCAATGAGATCAGCCCCAAGACTAATCTCTGAGAATCTTCAGCCCCTTTTCAAGCCAGTGGTTTCCTTGTCAGCACAAATTGTTAGCATTTCAGCTGAAGTCAGTTTCTTAAACATTTTACATTCTTGTACTAATCCCCATTCTCACCAGCATAACTAATCATTTCCCATGGTGACACCACGTCAAGTATTTTATTGAGGTTCAGATAGATTAGATTTGCTGCATTTTCCCTGTTCAGATAATCAGCTATCTAATTAAAAAAAGGTAGTTCTATGCCGTGGCATATACCCAACATATTCAAGGATTCATGAACACTGCTATAGTGTTCATCCTTTCAGAGTTTTGGTCTGAAAGATTTCTGCTTCCCTTGGCATAAATGGATGTGCATTTACTTCCATCTCTGATGTGGCATATTCCCAGTCTGTCTGGGAATTGACAGTCCAAGAACCTGTCCTGTTTCTGCCCCTAAATTAAGTATTTTGGTGCTCCCAGAAAAAGAACCACAGAGAAGCTGGTGAAAATAAGAAAGGGTACAACAGTATGTGGGGGGTTTTTTATTGCCTCTCTCTGTGTTAATCTGAAATTATTCAAGCATGTCTTAAAAGAAAGAAACGGCTTTCATGGCCAAAACTGAATTTTAGCAATCTCAGCATACTTAAAATTTGGCAACATACTTTCTATTCAAGCGAACAGGTGATATATCTTTATTCATTTGCTTGAAAGTACATGCAATGAGGTGTTCCAGAAAGATTTACAATGATTGCATAAGGTGTAATTCTCAGTAGGAACATAAAGACATTGAAAAGATGTTAAAGCACTGATTGTCTAAATATACTGAGTAAATGGCATTTGAATGAACACTTATTGAGTGCCAGGGATACTGTTTACCTCTGGTATGTTTTATCACATTTTCTAGTATTCTCTCTGTAGGGGGAGATATCAGCAAATTCTTTTATCTAAACCAGTTAGTGCACCATTAGAATCTGCATGGTTAATTAGGCAGATAATATTACTGTCATTATCTTAATGTTAAATGGCCATTAGAAACAGATGGCATTAAATTGAAAGGGCAAGTGGCAGTGAGTTAAAATATTAAGTCTAGAACTGAGGCACAATCATGTAAGTCCATTAGCAAGGTAAAGAACATTGCAGATTATCTTCTTTTAAACCTCCCACAACCATCACTGCCTTCTTTTAAATGAACTAATCCCTTTTAATCAGTGCTTTTAATATATTTCCTGGCTAATTGCATAATAAAATCATTGAGATTACACTCCTGTTATTAAAAAGCCCCAAACCTCCTGATACTGATTGGCAATTATAAGACTGCAAAAGTATTGACATAAAGTACTAATGCTTCTAATTTCTGTAATTTGACTCAGAGCTTTGTATGTATTTGAAAAGTAGATAGCACAGGCAAAGTGTGTTAACATAATGTATGCTTTCATTCTTTGCTGTCTGCTTGGCAGATGTATCGCCCTATAAAACTAGGGTTATATATATGGTGTCACTGATATAGTTACAGCTATTGTTTTCTGAATTCAGTATTTGAGAGAATTTTATTTGAAACTGGCTTCTGACTGGTGAGTCACCTTATACAGGAAAATACTCCTTTTTGCAAACTTGCACATTATGATATACTACATTCTGCTTTAGTTTTTAAACATAGGTTAAATTCCAAGCTTGTAGAATTCCATGAAATAATGTGGCTGAAAGGCTGCATGATTCTGAAAACTGTATTTGGTGGTGTTTAGATCTAGGCATGTATTTAATTACTTTCCTGAGCTGGAATCCAGATTTAGATAAACATCAATATTTTGGAAGGATTATCTGAATATGAACATTCTGAAAGACTGAGAGACTCATGAGATAATAGGTAAGTTTATTATGAATTGTTTGTTTCGGTTGAATCTGTATCAGTTATTTAAATGTTCCTGTTTTCAACCTTCCATTTCAGGGTGGTTTCACTCGTAAATATTCTTTGAGTTCCAAAACTGGAACTCTCCTCCCAGAGTTCCCAAGTGCTCAACATCTTTTGCTTCAAGGGTGCATTTCTAAAGACAAGGTAAAATGTGAGCTACTTCTCTTCTGACTTACAGATCAAAAATTACCACAGAATGTTTCTTCATATCTTAGGCTTTGAGGTGTTGACATGAAAGAGCCAGAAACGTCCATAATCAAACAGAGGTGACTGATTTATAGGGGGGCAAACCTTTACTAACACCGATTAACTGGCTTTCCACTGCAAAGGTGGTTGAATTATTTACCTATTAACTGACCTAGTATTTTACAAACTGATGGTATGTAAGACGAGGAGAGCAAAACAAATAACTGAGAGTTGTATTCATTCCCAATGCCTTTGGATTTAAGGTAAATTTGTTCTGATTAGATCAGAACAAATATTTCACAACAAATAATTAGATAAACTTTACTCTCTTTAATTAATTATTTGAAAAGAGACTGTGAAAATCTGATCATAGGGTTGTCTGGGTTTGTTTGTTTTTTTGTAAACTTGTATTCCTCAAATCAATACTCAGTATTGCTCATCCTAAGGGTTCAATCACAGGTATTGCTGGCATGTGTGTTATGTCTCTGTTGTTTTTGGTCACGTTACAAGCTGCTGCATCCCTGAACTGTGCTAGAAACCTTCTGGTACACATTGTGGACTCTCCAGTTTAGCTTCCAGTATGGGTCATGATGGTGGCTGTCTTGAGATGTGCTGCTTTAAAGCTTTTTGGAGCCCTTCCTCTTAAGTTTCTTCTGTGAAAGTAGTGAAGCATAGGATTCCCATTGTGAGGAGCTAAACAAAAGGAGCCGTCTGTAGTACAGAGGTATTAGCTGGAAATCTTAACAGTTCCTAAAGAAGCTCAAGAACTGGTGCACTCAGCAGTGTGCATGACCTGCTGCTATAGTCTCCATCAGTGAAATATCATCTCTCATATATACATCATTCTCATAACTTTAACGTCTGAAGAGCATTTGAGAGGTTCCTTGCAGACCCAACATACCAGTGTAAGAAAACTGAATTTTCCCAGTTCAACAATGACCTAAAAGATGCAACTCATTTCCTCTTCATTCCTGGGTCAGTAGCATGCAATTCCTCTGATGTTGGGAGCAGGTGATGGGAAGGCCCAGCAGGGCTTTACAGGTGACTCTGTCTGGAAACAGACTCATGGATTTGGGAGAAGACTGTGGAAGAGAGATTAATTTCTGTGCATCTCACTCCCTTTCTTTCCTTGCTAGTCTTGCCTCATTCCTTGTTCTTATTTCCTGCTTTCTTTCCTCACTATCTTTCCCCTCCTTCAGCTTATCTGACAAATGGTTATTGAACCTGAGAAATTTAGGTACTCTGTTGAGAGCCCATACATGAAGTTTGACTCCTGCATTAAACTTCTAAAAAATTGTATGCAACTGAAACCTCTAAAGAGTCCATGAGTGTAGCAGTTTGCACTAAAATAGGTTGATAATTTCTGCATTTTATGTTTCTGAAGAAAACTTACCCAAACTTTAAACTTCCATTACCCCCTTCCAAAAAAACCCTCTTTAAAATATAATTGAATCTTCCACTTGACCATTGTTTTTCAAATATGTATAGTTACTGAAGCAGCTCTCAAATTTTCAAAGATATCTGTGTGCTAGACCTACTGAAACAAGGTGGTACTAGGTTCATCCAAAACATGATGTTGTTTGCTGGAGAAGTTCACAAGCTGTAGCAAACTTCCAGTGATTCCGGATCATAAGAACAGCTTTGTTAACATTTTCTCATTCCTTAAAATACATTACAAAATTCTTGTTTTATAATTTCCTACAAATTAAAAAAAATTACTGCAATTTTTTTGAAGCCTTGTAATACCTCTGCAGTTGCTAAAATAAGGGAACACTCCACTCAGATAAATTTCCCTGAGGAGATGAAAGGTAATTCTGCTTTTTAAAGTTCAGTTCATGGAAGGCAGTGATTAAACTTTGACCAAATGACTGGCAGCTATTTTCTCATTTGTCCAACTAGATGATGTTTCAGAACACTCATAGACGCCTATAGTAGCCTAATGATTAACTTGCACTACTCTTTGGGATTAATCTTAGCTTCAGAAAGGTGAATTTGCTTTACCATCTGCCTGGCTAATGTAGCTATTGCCTTGCTTTGATATGTGCATTTTCACAGTTTATGCAGATTTAGACACTACATGTCTGAAAACAGCATTGAGACTTAAAAGATGTAGATAAAAACTAGAGATGAGTCACCTCCTATCACTTCTGGATGTACAGCCTGCCTGTTTGTCAATATGCGTTGTAATAGTTTATGTTCTATACTTAAAACAGTAGTTACAGAAAGCAGAAACCTAGATTACTATAGCAGTAAAGGAGAAAGCTTAGAAACTCTGCTTAATCTTTCTTTTTCCAAAACAGGTAGACACTCTTATCATGATGTACAAAACACACTGCCAGTGTGTCCTTGACAATGCAATTAATGGGAACTTTGAAGAGGTAAGGTTGTTTGAACACACATTCTTGGTATATATGCACAGGGAGCCAAGAAAGCATTATTTATGTCCATGAATCTGGTTCCTTACTCCTTTAGATTCAACATTTCCTATTACATTTTTGGCAAGGAATGCCTGACCATCTTCTTCCCCTGCTTGAAAATCCCATCATTGTTGACATCTTTTGTGTTTGTGACTCAATACTGTATAAGGTAAGTTAAGCATTTATCTACATGGATAATCTCAACCACATTACAGCTTTTGCTTGTGTGGAAACAGCATTGAAGTTGGAATAACAGGACTGATGTCTAGCTGATCTACCCATGTAAATCAGGAAGGATTCCACTGAAATCAAGAACATAAAACTGACACAGCTAAGAGATGAGCTCCAGTCTCAGCTCTGCTGCAGCCTTGATGTGTGGCTATAAGTAGCTCACTAACGGTGAAATCCTGACCTACTTGCTTGAATGTAGCTAAAATAACTGCTTGTATTCTTCACTGACACAGCTGAGTAAGTTAAACCTGGATGAAAACTGAGGCCATGTTTTTACTTAACAGATTATTGCAATTTCTGCCAGCACAGAGATTCTGTGGCAGATCAGCGAGGTGGTTCCACATACAAATCTGCTACTCACAGGTTATATCAGGCCACAGTTTCATGTTACAGAGCTGGAACAACACAGGGTTTAGTTCTTCCTGCCTCTCCTGTCTCAAGCGTTTCTTTTCCTATGCTGCTAGATGCCTTAGCAAAACTTCGGCACTGAACCAGTTTGGGTTTTTAAAAAAAACCTAAAGAACATTTGTTTTGCAAAGTTTTTGTGCAATATGAGTTATTTGATCTAGTTCACAGCATGATCACACACATAACTGAAACTAAATGAAACTAAGGAGTACTGCAAGGTCAGGATTAAGTGACAGATGGATTGATGGTGTAACAGTAAGCACCAAGCAGTCAAAGCAAGAGACTTGAGTCTCTGGTGCTGAGAGTGCCTTATTGTTTCACTGAGTGCCTTATTGTCATCTGTCATTCTTTACTGTACAAAAATATGGGGGAAAATCAAGAAAAGATGAAAATCTGTATTTCTAAGAAGTGTATCAAGCTGTAAAGAAGATGTTTTAGCTAGCAGAGTGAAGTGAAAGGTGATTAGCATCAAAGATAATTACTAAGCTAGAAATAAACCATTAAGGCTCATTTACTTGTAGAGATTATATTTCACCTCAAGTTTTTTCCTGCTCTTGTCCAATATTAACTGTATTTGTAAAAAATATTTACTATGTCAGGAGAAATTCTACAGCAGCACTACATTAGAAATTGAATAAGACAGATTTTCTCAAAAGTTCATAAATTTACTGTTGTGCCTGTTGTGGGTCTCTCACTATTTCTCACTTAAAAGCTGCCAGAAAGAAGGAGGGATTTTATTGCGTTGTTGTCAACCCATTTATTTAGGAGTTGGAACAGATTTTTAGAATCTTTCTTTAGAATCTAGAATATAAGCTAGCAACTTTGCCCTTCACAATAACACTCCCCAGAAGGCATGCTGGATGGCACATTCTTGTGCCAAAACAGTTCCACACCACACTTACCTATAGGATTTGTCCTAAACTCTGAATGCTTTCAGTGCCAGAAATGCAGTAGGGCAGAAGGAGGAGTCAGGTGGCTAGTAGCAGTTAAGAACTTGAGAGATGTTTGAGTATCTGCTTTATTGAAGGTCACAGTGATGCTATAAAAGACAAAGTGCTTCTGCATCTCGCTTCTACTGATTTCCCTACCGTAAGACCAGAGTTATAGCACTTGTTTTACTGGCATGCTGGCATACATTAAGAACAGGGGCTATCTAGGTATATAATAACCTCATAAATTGCTGTCTAATAGTCATGGGAGAAATCTAGATACCTAAATATCTGGACAATAGGTTGAATAGCTTCATTCTGTATAAATTTCCAGTCACTATGCAATCTAAGTAGACAAGACAGATGTGAATGAATAAATGGCCAGTAGAAGTTGGATATAATTTTCTGTTACCTTTTTGAAGGTCCTTACAGATGTACTCATCCCTGCAACAATGCAAGAAATGCCAGAAAGGTAGGTAGTTTAAACAATAATAGTAATGCTACATTCTGGTTTTTAGGCATATTCCAGGTAAAGAGTGGAAATTCCATATTGGAAATTTTATTACAACATTTTTGCTTATTTTTAGGACACTGGGATATGTATGGCAAAATACTATCCACTCTGAGGATAGCTATAGAACAGCCTTAAAATATTACATAGTATTTTAATGTATCGTTTTACTGGCTTGTTGGGTATTTTGAAATAGATTTCTTCTACAGTAAAGTCCTAGAAAATAAAAAAAGAAACAAATGTATTTGTGTTGTTTAAGGAAAACTACTGATACCTGTTTTCAGAATACTTTTCAGGTTTGTCTCCTATACATCACCAAAATACCTAAGCATTTCCTCAACAAGACTTGACGTTAATAAGAGAATAATTATAAGTTGCCTCTGAATCTTCTCATCTTTCCTTTCCCTTGAAGGGCATCTTCTTTGGGGTTTTGTGTCTGACTAAGGCACTTACCTAGAGTTATCTCTAATGGCTCTTGTATTTCTTACGTTTATTCTTAAAGCTGGTGTTTTTCAACCTATTTCAACTGGCAGATAGCTTACAATTTTTCTCAGAGGAGGTACAGATCAATATATACTCAATTTTTGCCTTTTGATGATTGGTCATTTCCTTTTGGTGACTTGAGGAGTAATTCACAGATATTTCCAGGAGTCTGTTAATCAGAGATTGAAACCCAAATATTTAAACTAATGCAAGACAAATTTTATTGATATTGCTCTATAAATCTTTTTTTTTTTTTTTTCCTGTAGTTTACTGGCGGATATAAGAAATTTTGCAAAAAACTGGGAACAGTGGGTTGTTTCCTCTTTGGAAAATCTACCAGAAAACCTGGCAGATAAGAAGCTGCCTATTGCACGAAGATTTGTTTCCTCCCTGAAACGACAGACATCATTCCTACACCTAGCACAGGTAAACAGAGTAAGACTGTACACCCAAAAAATTGTCAGTTACATTTCAGTGCACCTCGCTGGCTATGAGATATAATGCATTATTTTTTCAAGGTTCAACTTTAGCCATGGAAGATTTACACCTTGTAGTTCTAACCATGGAAGAAGGAAATGGCCATAAACAGATCTGACCAAAACTTCAAACATTTGTAGCAGAAAAGAAAGAAAACACCATGATTATAGTGACCTACTATAATGGAAACTTTTGGCAATCAAATTATGAAGTGCAATGTATGAGTATTTGTTTTATTTCCAAAGTGGAAAATACCAGATGATCCTTGCTCTGTAAAGGTTCACTGTCTTGTCTATGACATCCAACAGGGTCTCAGCATTTTACCTTGCCTTCTCTTACAGATTGCTCGGCCAGCCCTTTTTGACCAGCATGTGGTGAATTCCATGGTGTCAGATATTGAAAAAGTTGATTTGAATAGTATTGGCTCTCAGGCACTCCTTGCAGTCTCAGGGAGCACAGACTCAGATGGAGAGGTCTACAATGAATGTAAGTCTGTGGTGATATATTTGTATCATTTAGAGTAATTGGCTCTTTCATTTCATGCCACACTAGTCTACTCGGTGATGGACTGAGAAAAGGCTCATGTAGATACTGCGTTCTCTAATCTAGCTTAGTGTCAACCTCTATAGCTTTAAGAAATCTATTGGTTGCACTTGGATGTCTTACAAGAACAGAAGCTTGCACTGGGAAGTCATCCCAGCAAGATTACTTTTAATGGTTGCTGGCAAAATCATTTGCATGTCAGTAGCTAAGTGTAATAAAAACTCTTTTGAAGTTTTGTCCTAATCATGTGGAGATATTAGCACAGATGAATTATTGAAAGATGTCTGAAAAATTCCATATAATTATGGCTTAATTTAGTGAATATTTGAGCTAGCTTACTTATTTTTTGGTGTGAATAGTTTGTGTTGGTTTTTTTCTGAAAGTTGATCTTTAAAAAAATACATACACTTTACAGAAAAGTAACAGCTATTTTCATATTCAGAATGAAGTAAAGTACAATATTTGAGGGTGTTAATTTTCATATGCATACTTGTTATTGAAAAAAAATATCGCCATTTCCTCTATTAAAAAGATAAATTTTGTTGTAACAAACATGTTGATCTGTTTGGTGAGCTGAAAGGAGACCAATGGCAATGTGCTGTCTTCTAAATATTGTTGCTTTGCTCATGGAAGTTTGTTCTTTTCTTTAATAGTTCACAATCCTATTCCCATTCTCATTTGGGTTGCCCATTTCCTACTTTTTCTGTAATTGTTTTCTATTTTTTTTTCTTTGTTTCTTTACCACTGGTAACAAAACAAAAAAAAAAAAAAATCACAATCCTATTCCCATTCTCATTTGGGTTGCCCATTTCCTACTTTTTCTGTAATTGTTTTCTATTTTTTTTTCTTTTTTTTTTTACCACTGGTAAAAAAAAAAAAAAAAAAAAAAGAGAAGAGAAATTACTGTTCATTGAGGCACTTTTCTGAAATTAGGAATTGGGGAAGTTAGCTTCATGCTGTACGGTGAGAAACTTCAAAAAAGTATAGTGGAAAGCTCAGAAGTTTGCAAGTCTGCCACATTACAGATAAAGCTTTATTACTAAACTTAGTAGTAGAAGTGTTTTCAAGGCAGAATCTTAGAATTAATGGAGAACATCACAGGTTTTTTTTACTTTAATTTTCTTGTAACACTTAATTGTCTTACAACCTGCATTGTTGCAACGCCTAAGTAATTAATCTGTATGTGTGATGGATGTTTGTCTTCTTGCTTTGCTGGGGAATTGCTCATTTCTTCACTGCTCTAATTCTTTGCTTTTCCTTTCCATGCTACAATATTGTCATATGGCTGGTGAGTGGCTTTTTGTCATGTTCAGAACACTGTGCTCAGTGATATGTTCTCCTTTTTACATGGTAGATGACTCTATTACAGTGTTCCAAGAACTGAAGGACCTTCTAAAGAAGAATGCCACTGTGGAATCATTTATTGAATGGTTGGATACTGTGGTTGAGCAAAGGGTTATCAAGGTACCTTTCAAATGTTCTGCCTGACTGAAGATCAAATCCTGCTCCCCTTACTCCTTACACAGTCCCTTACTTACACAGTCTCACTGGTTTCCCACTTGGGATTCTCATCTCTGCTCCCGTTTCCTTACAGGAATGAACAGGGGAGTTCTTCATCTGGTTTGAGAGGTTCCAACACTATTAGTTTCAGTTAATCATGTTGAGTGCTGTTGAACAGTCTTACATATATGACAAGCTAAAAAGTATCTTAACTAAAACATTAAAGTCAGCACTGTCATAAACTGTACATGAAGAAAACCCCTACTACCTGAGCATGCAGAATCACAGGTGTATTGCCCAGTGTGTAAGGTGAACAAAAGTTGTTCCTCAGAGAAGCAATTCTTTCTTTCATGTTATTTGGATGATACTGTGTGTGTTATGAGTTAATGTAGCAGGTGGATTCACAAGTAGCTAATCTGTAGAAGGATTTCTATAGACCAGAATGGAAGATACAGTTTTGCAGCTTTATAATATGCTTAACTTGGTAATTGATGGTTTGGATGGATTTTTTTCCCCCTGATTTACAAGATGCTTTATAATTATAAGCATTTTATATGCATGTTGTGAGGACATGCACAGGAATGATTACACTATAATTCAGAACAAAATAATTGAGTTCTGAGTTGCAACTCATATGAGATCTACCAAATTTGTGACTATGAAGGCAAACTAGCAGAATAAAATGTTACACATTGTTTGCTGGTAGTTAAACACTGGTCTTCTCCTCAGGACATGTTCTAGATGGAAATGCAATATTGAATCCATCATTTTAGAGAGTATCTTGATATGAACGGGTGCAAGAAGATGAGACTGTGTAGTTAGCTTTGGCTGGCTTGCAGAAGAGTGACTGGCACAGGGTAAAATAACCATGAGGTTGGCATTATTCCTTTCTTCGCCTTTTTCCCAAATTTAATTGGAGACAGTGATATTTTTTTTTCTTTTTATATCACTCTGACTTTCCTAACATTTACTGTCATATGGGAGCCACACAGTGAGGAGCTCTGGGTAGTGCTTTGCTGCTTTTTTGATGATTCAGGGCAGCCGATCCTCATGCACACTTACCTAGACACAAAAGTCCCACTTAAGCTGAGCAATCACAACTTATTTTAGAACTGAGTGATTTTAGTCTGAAATTGATCCACAATTTTAGAAGACAATTCCTGATAAGCAAGCCAGGCAGAAAAGGTGAAACTCTCCCATTCAGCATCTACTGAGTGGTACTGTGTTATTAGAGTTAACAGGTATAGTTCCTAGCATTGTTCTTCTGTAGTGAGGAGTAAGAAATACCTACAAGTCCTGATATGCAGCTAGGTCAGCTAGCAGAAGCTAATAATTTACAGAACATGTAATCTTCCCATTGCTGTCCACCTTCTGTTCATGCTTAAGTGTGGTTACAGTCAAACTCACACAACAGCTAATTTCTGCTTGCTGTTTGAGAAAGCACCAGGGCATATGTTACCACACGAACAAATCACTGCCAGAGCAAAGTGACAATATGATGTGAGCAGTATTAAAGCGTCAACACGATGATAGGAAACATATCATTTTGTAAGAGAAAGTCTGGCCAGTATTACACAGATTACATTAAAGCACAAAGACTATTTTCTGTTCTCTGTTTATGTGGAATAACATAGTGCCAGAGGTTGTAGGGTTTTTTTCTTTCTGACCTGTACATCTGTATAGGTACAGATAATTTGGCATCTTTAGTTTTAAAATATGAGCTAATTTATATATCTTAAGGGCACAGCAGAGCTCAAGCAATAAGTAATTTGCTTTATCTGACATTTTCAGAGCTCGACTTGGTTGCACTGAAAGAGTGAGTACTATTCTTCTTTATCACTTTAAGACACACATTATGAAGAGAGTTTTAATCAGACAGCTTGATCCAACTTGCCACATCAACTTGAGTGAAGGACTCCTTACTCTCAGGCATATACAGTTCTCCTTTGTTTTATTCTGTGTGCAGGAAGCAAGTTATACTTAAGAGTAGTTAATAGTAAAATATGTAACAATATTTCACTATTCTCTTTCAGGCAAGCAAGCAAAATGGGAGGTCATTAAAGAAGAGAGCTCAAGACTTCCTTCTCAAATGGAGTTTTTTTGGTGCTCGAGTGATGCATAACCTGACTCTAAACAACGCATCAAGTTTTGGTACTTCGACTTTGCAAAAACACTCATATTTTGTACATATGTGCTAGCACTTACCAGCTTTCCACCACTTCCTTATCAAGAGGAGCCTGTACTAGTCTATAAAGATTCTTTGATCAAAGCCACAGATACTGTGCAACTTCTTTTTCAAACTAACATTTCCAAGTAAATACGAGCAATATTTTGTTGCTGGTCTCTGTCACAGGTTCTTTTTTCAAAGCTATTTTTCTTTCTAATTACTGCTTGGTACTGTTTTGCCATTTAAGAGGTAGAAGCTCTGTTTCAATATGGCAATGGAAGTGCAACTGCACATCTCAATGTAGGAGACAGAAGATTTAAATTATTAGTTTTATGTGTGGATCAGTTTGGTAGAAGATTACTGCTGTATAGAGGTTCTTGTGCATGATATGTTTTCATAAAAACAAAAGGAGCTTGGAAGATCAGAACTCATTCAATTCTGAGATTATCAGACAATCAGTTCAACAGTGTTTGTAGTTTTTAAAAATTAAGATCCGCTTGTCCATCTTTAGAAATGTTTACATTTTTTGGGGACTCTCAGGAGGAACCTTTTCTAAAATTGAAGATGGTAGAGCAAGTGAAGTTCACTTTAAATCTAGTATTTAATTTCCTACGTTTAGTTATAAGTACATAGTTATCTAAAATTCAGAGGGTATTTGAAATGGCTGTAAGGAGACATGTTTTTGATGTGATATATTCTTGAAATAAGGTCAAAGACTTCACCAGTTATTGTCTGGTTATTTAGCACAAGGCAAACAGAAATAGAGCAGAGGCATTCTAGCAGACTTCAGCCTTATCTAGCTCCACTGTGTGCCCTCTTCAAGTATAAAGCATGTCTCACTTTCATCAGTATTTTTCTTTGATGTAATTAGTGGTCAAATAGCCTACAGGACAGTAAACAATTGAGCTAGGTGGGCCAGTGCAAAGAGAGATTAGAGCTAGAAGTTAGGCACTATTCCTTGTTGGTCTTGCCAGGTCATTTAAAGTCCACAATTATTTGTTTGTTTCACTTGCTTCTTGTAGAGTGGTGAGAGATGGTCACAAAGATAACTCAGCTACTCTCTCTCGTTCTCCTCCAAAAGGTTCTTTTCATTTGATCCGCATGCTACTAGATGAGTACATCCTGCTCGCCATGGAGACACAGTTCAACAATGACAAAGAACAAGAACTCCAGAATCTGCTGGACAAATACATGAAGAATTTAGGTAACTACAGCTTGGTTCTTTTGAACGTACTCCTCTATTTTTAGAAATTGACATATTTCTTTCACTTTAAACAGAAGTAGGCTCACTGTCTTCTGATGTGTATTTATATACAACATTGCCAAAGTAACCTGAAAACTTTGTGACCATTCACTCAGGAATTCATTCCAACCCTCCTACCATAGTTTCATTTCTGGTATCATTTCTGATAATAACATTTTGTGAGACTGTGAATACACTGGATTACTGAAACAATCTAGAATGCAACAAACACTTGCAGGTACATCTCACCTGCTGTGAGCTGAAGTGCGAGAAGAGATATAGGCAACAGAAGGGACAGGAATTCCTAATCCAGTTTTCCTGCCAAAGCTTAAATATGTAATTACACCTTGAACTAGGAATGTATTACATGTTACAAAAATGCAGATATCCCTGCAAGGTTGGAACTTAAGTTGGGAGCCCTGTATAGCATCTGGCTGGAGCATTACTGTGTGGAAGATAAACAAAAATAATGTAAAACAGTATCCTTAACCTTTTCCACCTACCAGGCTTCTTCAAGGTTAAACAATTTGAAGTCATATGCTTCGGGTCCTTTGCTATAAAATGAATGAAGAGTGATTTGGATCAAATTCTGGTCCAAGTCAATCCCTAAAAATCCAGTGAAACTTAACTGGGTTTTCTGAATTATTTTTTATTAACATTAGCACCAGCAATCAATCTTTAACTTTTTGTTTGTTGTTACTCTAAGTCTGTACTTCACTGCAAGCAACTTGCATAGAATTGTCTCACAGTAGATGCTGCAGGTTTTTTTTTAATTCAACCTTCAGGAAAAAAATCTTGTCCTGTGTAACAGTTGCCCTATCCTTGGACTATAGTTGAAGTACTTGAATCCGTGAGGTAAAGTAATGGTTCCCACTGAAGAATAGCAAAACTTCCACTGACTTTATCAATAGTCTGCAAAAAAACTAAAGAACTACTGATTATAACAATTGGTTTTCTCTAGATATCAATATGAAAACAGAGTTCATGTGTTCTAAAATTCCCATTGTTAATTCTTTAGGATGAAGCATCATGAGCCTAATTCACTCAGTGCAGTTTACTTGACTTCACTGCTGACATTTACTGCAAGGGAATAAATGTGATTCATACCTTCACTATGATGGCTTCAGTAAGGAGCTGATACTCTGTGATGTAGATCTGTGGTCAGGGGATATTATGCAGTCAGTTCCACTGGGAAGATCGAGACTAGAGCAATATTTGTATTCATTGGCTACATGCAAAATGTGGAGGCTCCACTGGGTATTAAAATAAGCAACCAAAAGTACAAACAAACCACGCAGCTCATATGCTGTCTGTATACTAGTGGTGAGTTTATGTGCAATGAGCATGCATAACAGCCACCAAGAGTTCTTACTTACTCTTACAGACGCAAGCAAAGCCACCTTTACTGCATCACCAAGCTCTTGCTTCCTAGCAAATCGTAACAAAGCTGCTCCTCTGCCTGGTGACACTTCAGTCAAAAACGAGTGTCTAGCAGAGCAAACCTACGTGTCCTTGTCAGCTAGCCAGCCCAGCAGTGTACCTTCTGGTCTGAACCCCTTTGCTGCAGGAGACAGTGAGAATATGCAGCTGACAGGTATGTACCAGTTGTTCTAGTTTCTCCTCTTATTTTTGTTAGTCCCGCAATCCACAGTAACACATTGTACAGGGAGCAATGGCCACATGTATTTATAAAGACATCTCGTAAATAATGTTTCATGAGCTCACCCTCTGTGCTGATTTACAGCAGGTGCCAGTTGTAGAGCCCTGCCAGTAACAGATCCTTATGGAACAGTGGTAAAACTATCCTACACCTCTTGGCTTGATAAGGTTCTCGTGAGGAGACAATGAACAGTAACACCTGGAGCACACAAAGCTTGTAAATGCTAGAATTTCCCACTGAATGTGGCAGCCTCCAAGCTGCAGAATGAAAGTGGGAAACTTTATAGCCTGTAGCCATGGATTGTGTGTTGTGCACGTGGAGGCCAGTGCATATATCCTTTGTAAAGGTTTAAAATGGTAATGCACTTTTCACTAGGGGGTTAGTGTCTTAACAGATCGGCACTGTTCAACAGTACTGTAGAATGAGCACTGATCATGGGCTAATGCTTATTTATTCCAGGTCAGATGGAGCTATCTCAAAGCACTGGTCACCTGATGACTCCACCCATTTCACCAGCCATGGTCAGCCGAGGAAGTGTTATCAACCAGGGGCCAATGGCTGTGAGACCTCCAAGTGTAGGGCCAGTGTTATCCACACATACACAGTGCTCTTCGTACTCAGAACCCCTTTATCAGACTTTGTCACAAACTAATCAGAATTACTATGGAAACAATTCCAATTACCAGGCTATATTCAGAACTCAGGCCCATTCCACTTCAGGAGTTTACCACCACAGAGCGGAGCACAGCCGATTCAATGCATTGAGTGAACAGCAGTTCTCCAGAGACTACTTCAGCAACAGTTGTGCTGTATCTCCATACAATACAAGATCCCCTTCCAGCTATGGTCCCTCAACCATGTCTCAGGACACACACAATATTCAGTTTCTGAATGCTGGGAGTTTCAATTTCTTGAGCAACTCAGTGTCTTCGTGCCCAGGAGCAGCATATCCTGCTAATGCTTCCAACGGTATTAATATATATTTTATTTTTACCTTCTCTTTCTCTTTTCTTGCTGGAATAAAACACTCTGCTTTTTTTCTGTGGAAGATGTTTTTCAGCTCTGATTTATACCTTCCTGCTTTCCACTTCTCTTACGACACACAGAGACCATAAAACAGCTTAACAAGCTACTTAAGGATTTATTTTCCTCTGTTGAATCCTCACTTGGCGTTAAATGCATCTGCTGCACCTATGCTAATCTTCCTCTGGCAACATTGCCATGTCTTGCACAAAGGAAGGAAAACCAGGGTGACTTTATGATTTAACAATCTCTTGGGAAGGCCTCAAAACTTCTACTATGAAGTAGAGCAGGAATAAGATAGCTTACTTCTGGGGTCAGCGTAATGGGCCATCCTAGTCACAGGGTCAGGATGGCAAAATGAAGTATACAAATGTGCATTAGCATTAGTTTGAGACCTTGGCCCTCGTATTTCTCATACTTCAAATGTGAAGTTATTGCCGCAATCTGCTTCAGAGATACAGTCAGCAAAAACACTTCCCTCTTCTGGAGGAAAGACACAGTGGAAATGTTGCCTTTATATGGATTTGTATGTGCAATAAGTATGTATTACCATGCAGGTTTTCCTTTCAGGAACCCTTCACTTGATTCTGAGCTTCAGAAGGGAGCACTGAACTGTGGATAGTAGTCCTCATGGTGTCTCTTATGGACACTGATTGCAGGCTGCTGTTTAATTTTGAACTTAGAATGGAAGCGCAATTCTGTACTGAGGCACAGAGGATTTTTTGCTCCCTTATTACCGCTCCTCTTTTGGGTCAGTCACTGCATATGTCACTAATGTTCCTAGGCTGTATGTCTACATAAATAATCTTATTCTCAGGTGACTCAGCCATTAACAATTACCATTTGTTTATACGCAGGCTCCTACCCCACCCTTTCTTTTCAACAGCTGTTTCACTCTGCTTTTTTTCCAATCTCCTGTCAATAGGATATTATGGAAACAATATAAATTATCCAGAATCCCACAGACTTGGAACAATGGTGGATCAGCATGTTTCTGTAATCAGCAGCGTAAGCAGCATTCGATCCTTGCCGTCATACAACGATATACATGATCCACTGAATATCTTGGATGACAGTGGAAGAAAACCAACAGGCTCATACTACACAGAGTCCTCACCTTCAGCTGTCTGTCGGACTCCTATGCGTAAGTATAGCCATAGGTGCTGCGGAGCAGCTATGAACTGATCAGCATCCTAATGAGTGCTAAGTATTAAACTGTAGCTCAGATTCATAGTAAGTAAATATCGTAAGCTGTGTTTTCCTTAAAATTTACTTACAGTTACCCATGACAGTGGATTTAATAGGTATTTGCTCCCATAAGGACTATGATCCATTGTCTATGAGGAGTGGAATGACTGGCCTGAATTGCAGAAAAATCCATATTAGGAAAAACTTGCTAACTGTTAAAGTGAGCTAATAATGGACTGGGATCTTCTAAGGGCTCTTAAGGATCCTCACTGCCAAAGAGGTCAAATGAACCCTGGGTCAGAGATGTCTAGATACATACTTCTGTGGTATAGTCCCTTGCTGTCCTGTACTTCCACAACTGTGTGTGTTAGGCAAATCTCCCACTGACAGTGATTTTTGGATGAAATTTCTTAACCCCAAAGGGTTGGTTTTGGTATATGTGTTTAGAAAAATGGCAGCTGAGTTTGGTCTCACATTCCAAAAAGGGTTGCATGGAAGCTATAATCTAGGGCACTGTTTGTTTCTCCACAAGATTACCTCTCCCTACTACTTATGTCTTAACCTTGCACAGAAGATCAGACATTACTTACCTGTTCAAGGTTTTGCAAGAACTCAGTGCTCAGTTCTTTAAAGGATGCTAAAAGGGGGGAAAAATACCCAGCACAACCAGTATCTTCTGTATTCTATGTTGATATGTGTAACCACACAGGGATTGTGCCCATCCAGTATCTTCTGTATTCTATGTTGATATGTGTGCAGCGGTGGCTGCAGTCGTACCATCACTGAATATGGACCTGAATGGTGCAAAATAAGGAAAGATCAGCAAAGTGTGTATAAATAGCTTTGCACAGTTTTCGTAGAAGGTGGCTCATATGGCAAGCCGTAAACTTCAGACCCATAGTTGGATTTTCAGCAGAATTCACTTGCACATGACTTTTGACCTGTTCCCTGAAGGTGTGAGGAGCTGCTGAAGAAAAGTTATAGAGGTATAGGTAAATTGGGACAAGTATAGAACTGTTGGCATTTCTGTCCTTTAGATGGTGTGCCTGGTTAGAGAAGGGTTTCAATCCAATTAAATTGAATTGGGTTTTTTTGCTAAATTCAATAACTAGAAAACTTATATTGATAGTAACTTTTTTCCACAGCTTCAAACATGCAAACCACATCTACTTCCCAGTGTATGTATGGAACATCTGGTCAGTTCCCCTCTCAGGAAAATCTGGAATCCCACGCCCCACCAAGCAGAGATATGGTGTCATCTTTACCACCTATCAACACTGTCTTCATGGGAGCAGCTGCTGGAGGAACCTGAACTGGGAGAGACATGTCAGTGCCTTAAGCTTACTTTTCCAAATCCAGACATTAAGGCTATGATAACAATCCTCTTCAAGTTGATGGGATAGAAAAGTATTATATCGAGGTGTTAAAGGAGCCAATTTAGAGATATCAGCAGCTCACCACACACACACACAAATAGCTATATTCAGATTGGGTTCTGCTTGTGAATCACTCAGGATTGTTCTCCACCATTACTGCTTCTCAGTCAAAAATTTAGGATGAGCAGAAAGAGACAGAGATTCTTGAAAGCAAGACTAAGTTGTAAAGAAATTATTACACCTATTCCTATTCCTAATTTATTAAAAAAGCTATTTTAGCCTTTCACTTTTATCTTTTTGTATAAAAATGTTTATTTAATACCTGTGTTGCTCATTATTTATTACTATCACAGAGTAACTGTTTACTTTCTCTTATTTGACAGATTGTCAAATGTCTGTATCCTACCTCCTATGGAAATGTTTACAAGGTCAATTTTTACTCACTTAAATGAAACTAAGCCAAATTCGTAATTTTTTTACTGTTGTGCTCTGGCAAGTCAAATTCAAATGTTTTGTGCCTACTTGTGTAAGTGAAAGTCCTCAGGAAATGAATAAAACGTATTGTTGGGATTTTTTTTTCTTTTAAAATAAACCACTTTCTCTTAAAATGAAACCAACAAAACATGAAAATATCACAAGCTAAATATTTGCAGTAGCCTGCCATTGTGGCTGGATAACTGAACCAAACTAAACTCAGCCACAAAATGTTAGGGGATTTCAAAATTATGTGTGGCATGAGCCCAAAAGTTCTACTGATGGAAATCCAGAAAAAAGACATCCATCACCTTTCATAGGGTTAGAGCAACTGTGTATAATGAGATCAAAAGTAGTAAAGATGATGAAAAATATTACAACCTTCTAGATCAACTATTACAATAAAAAGTTGTAAGTGAAATGAAATTCAGCCTGGAAAAAGCGTGTGAAAATTATTCACTAATCGTATTAAGTAGAACAGAGAACACACAAAACAAGCTTCTTGATACACATTCATGAAAGATCAGATGTTATTTTATAATTGGATTGTCCCACCATCACATTCAAATTTAGATTCTAGTCTGGTATTCTGAATTGTTTGAGGTTATTTGATGTTCATAGTGGTTCAGTTCATATGCTGGGTATCATGGAATTATATAGTAGGGTATTTTTGATGGAAGAAGTTTTTATTTCTATTCCTAATTTCTGAATTCTAATCCTTTATAATTTCCTTTAGTGTTTTCTATCATGAGAAGTCTTGCCTGCAGCAGAAAAGCAATAAGGATCATTGACTGGGCTAGCTCATGAATAATTCCTGATATGAAATACTTGATGCAGAAATGAAACACCATAGTTCAGTAGAAGCCTCCACCTCAACTACTTCCTAATTCAGGAAGAAGTCTTATGCGGCAACTGAAAATACCATAATGGTGTGTGAAAGTTTTGGTTTGAACAAAGATTCCCAGTGAAATGTAGTGGTAACACAGGCTGCTTGAGCAACTATGTATGGAGCAATGCTTTATGTGAAGTATTGCAAAAGAGTTTTTTCTTCATGATTATTCAGAACAAGATGTATTTTCTCCTAAAATTAGTCCTCTTAAGAGTCAGGTTCCCTGTCTAAGTGGATCACCTCTATAGTCACTAAAGAAAGATCCCTCCCATTCCAAGTGAGATAAGTTGGGTAAGAGGAGTACAAAGTGAGGGATATGCTACTATGGGAAGGGATATGCCATTGTCCTGAAATGGTTGGCTCTTTCTGCTGACAAAATGACATGGCATAAATAATTTCTTCCACCTGGAAGCTTCTAGCTGTAAGAGCAATAAGTAGAATTTAGAGGAAGTAGGCAGCCAGTAAGAGACAGGGTCTTAATCCATCAGGCCCTACATAAAAAGCACAGTTCCTGGTACATAGTGGCTCATGTAATTTATATGCATCATTTCCAGTAATTATTTTTTTTTATGTGAACCTTTTTTCATTGAAGGTGTGGTGGTTTTTTTGGGTGTAAATTACTTTATCTGCACTTCATCTGAGATAAGAAACAATATTACATCATTAAATGTGCAGATTCTGGTGATGGCTGCAAAACGCAGAGTAGCATGAAGTATCACACTTGCAAATTGCAGCTCATGATCAACAGCAAAGAGCAGTAAAAAAAAAAAGCTAATATTCAAATAGCTAGTTAAGAGGGATCTCTCATAGTGTTGCAGAACAAACCAAACCCATAAATGTAACTAGCAAAACTGAATGAGAATTTTCCATTTTATGATCTATTAGTTCAGTCAAATATGTGGTTTCATGAATTCAGTATATTTTGTCTGTATGAAACTTAATAATTCATAGCTTTTGTGGGTATCCCATGGGAAGATTTTTACCTTTGGTAGTGTAGTAGCATTACAGGAAAAAATATGAAGAAACAAGGGAGTTCTCTCCTCAGTGGTCTTAAAATACTAAGTTCAGTTGCACTTAATATGATGGTTTTAATATATACATACCAGAAAATCTGTGTTTAAAAATTGTGGATATTGAGTACAATCAGTTGCAAATGAATAATGCCTAAGGGGAAAGAAAAAAAAAAAAAAAAAAGCAGCTTTTTATTTTGGGAGAAGAAATTATTTAAAATGAAATCCTATTTGCAAATATCAATGAATTTGAACTGGCAAAAGAGATGGGTTAACAGGTGAAGTCTGCTTCTGCAGTAAAACTGATTCTAAGACAAAATTATATTGACCAAGATGAAGCAACAGTGGAGAATTGATTGCTTTGTGAGATATTGTCCCAGGCCTAGTAAACAAGATGGAAACTTAGGTAGTTCGTGCTGGAAAATAAATGCAGTTCTTCACCTCTGAACACAGGTCTGTAGGGATTTTGCTCCAGATTCAAATTTTGCAAAAGAAAGTTTGCATTTACCTTTAAACATGTAGTGAAAACACAGAGAAATTACTTGTAAAAAGTAAAGGTGGGTCTCATACTCTCATGCCATGTGCCAAGTGTACCTTACTGGTTGGCTCAGCATCCTGCCAGCTGTCTCCATCTGGTACATGAGTGGTTTGTAGTCACAGAGAGGAAGGGGACCTGCAGTGCAGCTGGTAGAGATGAGCCACTTAGCAGAGACTTATATTTTAAGGCAGACAGAGAAGATCACAACCTCACTGCAGATGTGCCAAATGAGAACAGATGCTTTATTTGTCACGGTGCTGTTTGTCTCAGTGCAGGATCAAAAGTAAGCAGACTTTAGATTTATGGATCAACTGGTCTAGAAAAGAAACAATAACTAAAAAATCCTGCTCTTATAGCACTTTAAGAAAAACTATAGAGACATTATCACTCTTGGAAAAGCAGTTATTTGATACTAAAGAAACTAAATATGTTAGGAACAGAATCAAAGATCTAACAGAGAAGTATAAGAATCTGTAGAAGCCAGAGAGCAACAATACAGGCCATTGATGTCATACCTCTGGCAAAGCTGTGATGGTACAGGCAATGAGCCCCACAGCACCCAACTGTACTGTGCTAAAATGCAAGGGGCCATCAAGCTAAAGTTCAATTTGCTGCAGCTGCCTGCTGGTGATTGGATCTAGGCAGTGCAGGAGGCCTTACCTGGGGTTGATACCTGGGAAGAGGTAAGTTAGAGTTAGTTTTAGGGCTGATGTGCCCCAGGTTGTAAGTAACAGACTTTGGTATGACTAGTTTCAGGCTATGGTTTAATTGGAATTGCTAATCTATCTTTAGGGATTGGATTAAATTTTATATTAGCCTTGGGAATGGAGTCTGGGCAGGCTGGGCTGGTTAATATGGACATTATGACTGTTGCAAATAAGGGCTTGTAAAGCTATACTAATTTGCCTGATAAAGGTCACAGGTCTAGTTTTTATGATGAACTCAGTAGAATTTGGGAATAGCTATATCTGGATTTCTGAGTTTGGGTTCAGGCTAGTGTGTTGGATGAACCTGCATAATGCCTGAGCTTGGCTTATGGCTGTTGCCAGTAGGGCCTACAGGGTATGTTTAACCTTCCATGGTTAATTCAGGGAAGTTGCCTACTCTCTTCTTAGTGATGTACTCAAGGTGGAACTTGAATCTGAGTCAGCTTTGTCATTAAGGCTGACTTCAGTGGTTGGATCAACATGAAGCTGAGACCATGAGTCAGTATTGGATTTAGAAGTGGCCATCAAGCCCAGCTTAATGCAGCTGCTTAGAGGGACCCACAAACTATGCTTAGTTCTAGATAAAACAGAGTGTAAGGGGACCAATATAGATTAATATTATAGTAAGAATTAAAATCAATATTTACTTGGGCAGGAACTGGTGAAAGTTTGTTGTTTCTGCATTCAGCAGAGGCAATGGAGCTTATATGAAACCTATGGTCAGACAGGGAGATCCAGTTATGATTCTTCAGGGTCTAGTCTTTAGAGTAGACTTAAAGTTGATTTGAAATATACATTTGGAAATGAAAGAAAGTGAGGCATTTAGGTAAAGTCCAGGTCTACAAGAACCAAGTGAGACTTATTTGAGGGAGGCCACATTGTCAATCATAATTCTGAGGCTGGCAAAGGAGAATTTGAAGTCATGGCTGGGGTTCAGCCAGCCAGCTGGGATTCAACATGAACCAATGAATCTGAACTAATTGTGTATTTAAGACCTGCAAGGATCTGTGCTTATTACTGAAATGGTAGGAGTCACTGATGCAGTCATTAGATTCAGCCAAAAGTTGGAATGAAAGGCTAGGACTAGGTCAGAAATGTTGCAAGCCAGGATCAATGCACATCTAAGAGTCATTAGCTGAAACCCCACTGATGGAAAAAAGATGCATCTTTCACAGCCTAAGATGATAATGTATCCTAGATGGAAGCACTGCAGGTATCTGTTTCCTCTGGAGAGATGCTGCATCGTTGCTAATGATGAGACCTCAATCAACATTGCTGGGATAGTGAAAGGTTAGGCAAGCAGGAGATCCTATTGTCA